CTCCCTGGGCCCCAGTCTGGTCTGCGCCCAGCCTCCACCCTTGAGTGCCTCCTCCTCGCCTCCCGCCGGTCTGGGGCACACGGGTGGGGCAGGGGTGGAAGCCCCGTGCGCCCCGGGCAGCGTTCGTGGTCTCATCATTAAACGGCACGCACGAGAGCCAGGAGAACGAGGCTGGCGGAGGCCACCGCGGTCGCTGTTTGGTCTCGTGTCGTTTTACGTTGGGAGACATGAGACAGAGCGAATGAGACGCGCGTCTTCTTACATTTACAGATGTGCAACCCCCCTGCCAGAGCCCCTCTCCCCACTGAAGTTCCAAATGCTCAGAAAAACTCCAGGCTGGGATGGAAGGGACCAAGGGACCAAGGGACCAAGGTTGTGGCGCGTGAGCGGGCCGGCTCTCCCGTCCTCGGCGATGAGGGCAAAGCGCCTGGTCTAGCCGGGCTGCCTGGGTGCGGGTGGGGGGCCTTTGGGCAGGGCAGGGGCAGCGACCTCAGTTCCTAACCCGGCGGGAGAGGGGCGGGGTCCCTGCCAGAACCCCCAGCACAGCCGCAGGAAGGGAAGGGGGGCCGCACCTCCCTGTGCATTTCCCCTCCCTTCCCATTCTTTGCAGTACCAGGTATTGAACCCAGGGAGTGATGGGCTACATCCCCAGCCCTCTTGCATTTTTATTTCCTTATTTATTTAATTTATTCATTCATTCATTCATTCATTGTGGTGCTGACATACCCCTGAGCTACGACCCCTCTTCACTTTGTGAGACAGTCTCTCTCGAGTTGCCCAGGCCAGCCTAGAAAATGCGATCCTCCTGCCTCAGCTTTGTGAGTAGCTGGGTCTACAGGTGTGCAGGGCCATGACCAGCAGCCCTGTTGGAGTTCTGACTGCTCCTTATCCAGGTTGTGTTCATTGTGGGGACCAGGGTGTCCTGTCCTCCTAATGCCTCCCGTCCTCCTGTCGTCCTGCTCCAGAACCAGTGAACAAGGTCAGAAGAGACCCAACTGTGTAACGGAATGCATTCCCGAACAAGATCTAGAACAGGTGTGGGATGCAAAAATACCTGGCCCCCAACAAGGTACAACTTAAAATACTTGGCCTCCATTATAAACTGACCCCTTAAAAAGTACCCAGAGGAGCTAGGTGTGACCATGTGTTCATGCAGTCTCAGCATTCTGGGAGGCTGAGGCAGGAGGATGGCAAGTATGAGCCCAGCCCAGACAACTTAGTAACTTAGCAAGACTCTGTCTCAAAAAATAAAGGCAAGGGCTATAGCACGTGCAAAAGTCCTGGGTTCAGTCACCAGCACCACACACACACACACACACACACACACACACACACACACACAGAATAGCCAGAGGCAACTAACTCTTAGCCGAGAACAATCATTCAACTGAGAGTAACCTGAACTGGTGGATTTAAACCCACCAGAAGACATTATAGTGACTCTATTGTAATTTCATTCGAGATATTTGAAAAGTTAAGGCTGGGCGGCAGGGTGTGTGGGTACCACCTGTGACCCTGTTCAGGTCTTACCTATTCAGCTAAGACCAGGCCTCCAAAAAGATCCAAAGGGCTGGGGAAGTAGCTCAGCTGTACAGGGCTTCCGAGTTCACATCCAACATGAAGGAAAAAGAAAAAAGGCAGAGATCATGGTGTCAGCATGAACTCACTGAGGTGAAGTGGCCAGTATACTGTTAACTGATCAATAGGCTACAAAGTAGTACATATAGTCAGCTTTTTATTTTTTAAAAAATGCATTTATGTACAGAGATATCAAGAAGTCATCTAGAATGGTGCTCATTTAGCTGTTCTAATCAGTCTCGGGGTGTGAGATACTGAACACACTTGTCTTGTTCAATTGGAGTATTTTACTTTGTGGTATTATTATTATTATTATTATTATTATTATTATTATTATTTTATTATTATTATTGGTAGTATTTGGGATTGAACCCAGGGCCTCCAAAATGAGCTACATGACCAGGCATGGCGGTACACACCCGTGACCCAGCACTTGGGAGGCTCATTTTGCTTTCCTTTCCTTTCCTTTTCTTTTTTTTTTGGCGATAGCACCTCAGGCTGTAGATCAGGCTGGCCTTCAACTCACTGCAATACCCCTGCCTCATGCTCCTAAGTGCTGGGATTACAGGTATGTGCCATCATGCCCAGCTCAAGAGCCTATTCAAAAAAAAGAATTGAAAAGCCTCTCAACACAGTATTAATTTTTGTTGTTGTTCTGGGGATTGAACTCTGGACCTTGCACTTCTGAGGCTGGCATGGTGCTGCCACTGAGCTAAATCCCTGGCCATGTATGGGATATTGTAATGGTGAATTCTACCAAACATCTGAAAGAGGATTAACATGAATCCATCCCAATCTCTTCCAAAAACATTTTGTGAGGCTGGGTGTGGTGGTGCACCTGTGATCCCAGCACTTGGGAAGCTGAGGCAGGAGGATCTCTGCAAGGTTAAGGCCAGCCTGGACGCATAATGAGAGACCTTGTCTCAAGAAACAAACAGGGCCAGGGATTTAGCTCCGCTGCATGGGTGCCTGCCTCGTAAATGGGATTCTGAGTTTGATCCCCAGTTAAAAAAAAAAAAACACCTGAAACACTGTGTGGGGAACATTTCCTAACTCTACCTCAGTGTTGCTGTGACACCAATGCCAAAGACACCAAGGGAATCAAAGGCCAATGTCCCCATTAATAAAATTCTCTATTAGACTTAAAGGGCTGAAATTCATAGGAAATATCTTTTCTGACCGCAATGGGACAGAGCCAAAAATCAACGGCGGAAGGAAAACTGGAAATTTTACAAATATGTCGCAAGTAACATACTCTTCAGTAACCCATGGGTTAAAGAAGAAAAGCATTAGGAAAATTGTAAGACACGGTGCTGTAGTGTGCAGCCCATGGAAACATACTGAAGGAAGCTTAGGAGACTCAGTGGAAGGAGGTGACGCACACCTTTAATCCTAGTACTGTGGGAGGCTGAGGCAGGAGGATTGCAAGCTGAAGCCTAGGTCCTGAGTTTGATCCCCGGTACAGGAAAAACCACCCCCCAACAAGTTTTATGACTCATTTTTCACACTTAGGAATTTATTTCCACAGTGGGTAAGGCAGGGATCCAACCCTACTGCTTCGTTTGTGCAGCTGGCTGAAAAAGCACAGCGTTCCCGAGAGCAGCTCCTCCGCCCGCCCCTCGACCCTGTCCTCCTAATCGGTCTGTCCCCGGCCCCACCCACTTGTCACCACCCCAACTGCGCTCCTCTGTACCCCCGACATCCTGGTGCTTTACTATAGGTTCTTTCTCTTTTTTTGCACTTGAGACTAAACCCAGGACTCCCCAGGGTGCTGGGATCACAAGTGCACACCACGGACTGCTGATTTTCAGAATCAAGCCCACTCTGCCTCTGAAGCAGCCACTGCCCTAGTCCCACTTGCTTTCCCACGGCCTGTGCACTGCAGGGCCGCACAGACAAGGGCAGAGCTGTGCTGGACCCGGCCCTGGCGGATGGTGTCAGCTCCCAGGCGGCCGGGACTCCACCCTCAGCCTCAGGACCCTCGCAGGCGCTGCCGCTCTCCGGGAAGGAGCGGTCAGCTGTGGTCATCTGTGGCTGTTACTTTCTTTGTCTCATTTCGTGAACCTGGCAGCCATTAGCAACTCCCAAGTAGCTTCCGGCCACCCTGGGTCACCCCAACCCTGGTGACATTTTTTGGTGCTGGGATGGGACCCACGGGTGCTACATACTTCGCTCTACCACTGAACACCACACCTTTCTAAAACTTTTTTTTAATTTTTTGTTTTTGTTTTTTTAAGTTTTTTGAGACAGGGTCTCACTATGTAGTTGAGACTGAACTGGAATTCACCATGTAGCCCAGGCTGGTCTAGAACTCACAGAGATCCTCCTGCCTCAGCCTCCCGAGTGCTGGGATTACAGGCGTGCACACCACGCCCAGCACCCTGCTTGTCCACAGCTGGGTGGAGACCTGCACCCAGCCCACCGGGTCACCAGCTGTCGCAGCATGGAACCTCTGGATGAGTCTGTCCCACCCCTCGCTCCGTAACAGTCCTTGCTCCCACCCCTCCCAGGCTGGCTCCCTGGCCACTGTCACCTCTCCCGTTCTGTGTCTGTCACTCAGCAGGCGCCTCTGAGGACTGGGTGTCC